TTTAATTTGAAAAATCTATCATTTACATTTTGAAAGAAATGCTCGGAAATTCTTGAATTATGTCTCACTCTTTTCATTTTGTCAAGTGATAAATTCTGGCATATTGTACCCCAAGTCATGCATTATTACATAGTGCAGTTTTACAAACCATTAAATCACTTGCTGTGTTATTCTGGAAAATATCATTTTACTGGAATAGAAACAAGCCCCAGAGTAGATGTTTTATTAAAATAAATAAAATACAAGTCTGCCTATTGAAAAAAATTTTCCAAGGCAGAATCAAAATCTAGCTAAATCCACATAAAGCCTAATGTGAGTGGAGGATGTGACAGAACGTCCATGCTACTTGATATGATAGGCAATTTGTGTGCAGATGTCTATCACTCACTGAGATCACAAGCTCAACATGAGCACATTTGTTTAGAAGCAAGCAAAGCATACATTTAGATTCACCAAAATGAGAACATTCAAACATTCTAGCAATTTGAGAGATGTCAAGTCATGGACTTTTGGTTCCTTCTATAATTTTAGATATGTTGAAGTTAAATAATTTGTTTAATTTCACACATCACAATCAAGCGATAAAAAGGCACAAAAAGAAAAAAAAAATCCTGAAAAGTTGGGTGAGATAGCCAAAGATGTTTAAAAGAGTTAAGCTTCTGGTAAAAGGGTCTTTACCGGCATTAAAATTTGAAAGCCCCAAATCAAATGATTTTTTCCTGTTTCCTTCATATGCAGTGGAGTTAGAGCAGTGGTATTTCTCTGGCTCTTTACCTACTATGGATCTCATGTTCTAGTAATTATGGGGACTAGAGCTGAAGTTTGGATTGCACTCATATGCTCATCAACAGCTGGTTAGAACATTGCTATTTGGGTAAACTAAAATGCTAGAATTTACTGTTATTTCCACTTCAAGAAGTGACTGGGCCTAGAGACATAAGAATTAGGGAAAGTAATGATTTAGAAAGAGAATAAGTTGGAAGTTGGTATGCACTTTTGACAGCCCGTAGTGAGGAAAGCCTGCCGGAATCATCCTCACAAAAGCACCCTTTCCTCCTTCCCAACCCTCCTCTTCAAGGTCACAGTTGAAAGGATTGCGAAGATGCCCGCATAAAGCTCCAAGGCTAAGGTGGGCATTTCTGTGTCAGTTCTCTGACTGCTATGGCAGCACGACAGTTTCTGTCGCTCTGTGAACGGCCTAAAAGAAAACTCAAAGATTCTCTTGGACGAATTCTAATTCTTATCTGTTTCTCGTAGGTGCGGGCCAGTGCAATTGCCCAGGATGCCGATCAGAATTACGACTATGCCAGCAACAGTGTGGTTCTTCACTTGGAGCCTGGAGACGAGGTCTACATCAAACTAGATGGCGGGAAAGCCCATGGAGGAAACAACAACAAATACAGCACATTTTCTGGATTTATCATTTACGCTGACTGATAATGCAGGAATTCAGCTTATTGATCTGAGTCTGGACGCTGGATTTGTATGGCTAACATCAATGAATCAAGGATCCCAGGGGAATGCCAGTTGTGGGGCACCTCAGTTGTGTATATGTGGGGGCATTCAAATGCTACCTGACTCACATCTGCATTCTCAGAAACATTATGTAAAAAAATATTAAAAGCAAGATAAGCAGATGTGTGATCCACTACCGCCAAAGCAAATACTCCTTGTTATTAGTGTCCGTGTGAATGAAGTCCTATATAGATCACAAATTTTTATAGAAAAATCTAAGACACTGAATTATTTCTTCAATATATATGATACTTTGGTGTACTGTGATCCTCCTGCTCTTATCCATGTCAGCTTTGGTTCTTGTGAGTGTACCTGCTTATTATGATACTTGGATTCCATTCATAGTGTAGGAAGGAATAATTTTACCCTGCAGGAGGAGGTCTAATCAAAATAATGCTGCTTGTCCCCAAAGAAATTATTTGCCTTGTACTCTTGTGAACTTTAGAGCTAGACCTGGGAGTGATTCAACTTCAAGCCTTAACCTGGAATTTTCTGGATCTGACGGAATTCCCAAGCCTGTGGTTACTTTCCCATTTTCTTTTTCCTAAGCATTTTCTTTTTTCTCTTTAATGGTGATAGTCTTTTAAAGTAGAGATTGAAATTGTATCATAGGATTACCCTATAAGTGTGAAAATGTGTAATATGTATGGTATTTAGAAAATCCCCCATGTGTCCATTTTGTCACTAGAATGTGTTTAGATTTACTTGGAAAGTCAGAGAAATCTATTCTTTGATGTGAAATCAGACTGAGGCTTTTGCCTTCTTTGGAACAAAAGATTATTCATAACCCAATGCACAAAGGTTTAATTTGAGCTGCTGCATGCATCACCAAGGGATCGCTAAGTAAGGCTTTCAAATAGTAACTGACTAAAGTTGTGGCCTGAGGTTATTTCAAAATGAACAATTATAATAAGTATGACAACAAAGTGTATATATTTTATAGAAATACCTGTACACACACACACACACACACACACACACACACACACACACACACGACTTTAGATCATAGGTACAGTGACTGCTATAGCCTCAAATTTTAATTGAAAAAAATATATGTGTGTGCGTGTGCACACGCACACACATATGTTATTTGAATTATTTTGGATTGAAGTATATTTTGGATGACAAAAATATATGGAATAGCAAAATAATTGAAAAGGCTTCTCTTTTAAGAGTTATCCAGAAAATTAAACTGTATTAGGTTAAAATGCTCTATCCATCACATGTCTGTACATTAGCCTATGACTTCTCTGTTACCCTCTGCCAATCAATACTTCTTATTGCATTCTGTGGCAGACTGTTAACATTAGGACTGCTGAAACAAAGTGGCTCTCCTTTGTAATGTTTGTAAATTATACGCATTTAAATTACCAATTTTTCTTTTTTTTCTCAGGTGGATTGAAGCTGACAGTAAAGTAGATTTTGTGAGTAATGGAAATCCTTTCTCTCTGTTTAAAATACACTACTGAAAGCCATCTCTTTAAAACTAAGAAAAAAATTAAAATTGCATGCTGATAGATCTGAACTATCAGACAACTTCTTCTATTACAATGAAAAATCTGTTCCCCTCTCAGCTGCCTTTTGAAGACTCTTTGACAAGTAGATTTCAAAAACAGATATTTAAAAATCTGCTTGTTTTACCGGTGAAGGATATTTGCATTTTCTTTTCACTTAAAGGAATTAGTTCGTTCTCCTGGCTCTTTCCTCTTGGGTACTTTCTGTTCTAACACCCAGAAAGCTTGATCATCTTTGATCTGCAGAACTATCTTTTATTTAGCAAACCTCAACTTCCCAAAAGAGCTATGCATCTGAAAGTACTGTTTGCTTAGTTTAAATGCCTTAGCCTGAGTAACTGTTGTGATTATGTGATTAAAAACACTTAGCCCATTCACTAAAAAATAATGATTAGTTCCATTTGATTTTCCTAATATATAAGATAACTCAGAAAGGAATTGCAATGAATTTTATTCCTATTTAACAACATATACTTATCAAAGAATTGGCAACAGGGTTTGTAGAATTTTTATTTAATTTTAGGTAACAGCACACTGAGAATTCAAACAAAAGATTAACTTATAAAAAGCAGTGCACATCAACTAAGAGTTTTAACTGAGTTTTTAAAAGGCTTTATTTACACAAACCATCAGGGCTGGATACCTTTTATTTTTATTTTATTTATTTATGTATATATGTATTTACTTATTGATTTATCTTGAAAGTATGTATTAAAGCTGAAATAAAGGAAACAAAGGAAGGGCTTCAGGTGGAAAAAGCAACAGGAGAACCTGGGCAGGGCTGCTTTAGCTCACTAAAAAGTCAGAGAAAAGAGAGTCTTGGAGACAGATTCAGGGGGTGAGCTGAGGATGAGTTGCATCTATCCACTGCTCCCCTTGTTGCAAGTCTCTTGGGGACCTTTAAAGTTTTAAAAAATAGTACGTGCCTGAGAGAAGGTCATGGACATACTCCAAGGAGGGTACCAAGGCTGATACCTTTTAGAGAGTTGGCTGTAGAGTCATATTGTCATTTCTATAATATTATATCTGACCTTTTCTCCAGAAAAATAAGCATTATTTTCTTTAGTTAGGCCCAAGGAAAAACAGAGAAAAGGTAAAGAAAATAAAGGGACTATATAAATAGATATATATGGCAAACATTTCTCTTTTTTTGCATTATACATGATTAATTGATTAAATTGTGGCCTTTGTTATTATAAATGTAATGATTCATTAAAGTATATTATGTAATATATTCTGACTTTTATGATTCAATTTTTATAATTCAGTATTATGTTATGTGTTCATGCCTCCTTATACAAATATTTCAAAGCACAACAAAAATTTATAGCAAAAATGGATGCCAGAAAAGCATAGACAACACAATTGATTTATGAAAAGTATATATAGATAGGTAGACAGCATATAATTATCCTTCCACAATATTTTTACCATTGTAAATTGGTGATTGCTTTGCAGTATCTATTGAAAAAAAATCTCAAAATTTCACTTCTCTTGCTGAAGAAGCTATTTTAAAGTGCCACATTACTCATTAAGCATTAATTAAAGAACAGCAGGATAATTAGTAGGATCATCAATATTACAAGAAACATTGGATTGCTCCAGAAGGGGGTAATTTAACTCAAAACACTTTAAATTCTCAAGTAGGACAGCCGATAGATTAAGAAAACAAAACAAGCCTTCACTAAAGGGATTTAGACTGTAACTCATTGTTTGAAAGCAGGTGCTTCTGTGATTATTTGTTAATGCAAAGTACTGGGGCTCCATGAGGCTCAAGGACTCCCTAAATGTGCAGATGTAATAGCCAGTTTCTGAGAAGGTAACATGCTTCTAATTCTCACAAAAAGGAAATGACCCAACATTAGTTCTATGTAGCTCTGATTAATTATTATCTCAGAGTCGGTTTGAAATCACTGAATGTTCTCTGTAAGCTTCAAGATGAATTCAAGATGTGAATTCATAACCATCTTATCGGAAAGTTAGCCATTGTCGAGGGTTCTCTATTAATATCTTATCAAGTGCATCCTGGGTGATACCTCTAAGCAACATTTTAGGAACAATGTTGGTGAGTATATGAGAATAGCCATGGCCTCCATATTTCATCAGCCGATGCTTTGTGTGTATGTCATGGGCCATCAGAATTCGGTCTTCATAGCCTTCATCCACCAGAAGACGCACCCTGTGAAAAATTGTAACTCATTACATCACTTATCTCACATTTACAATTTCCAGGGTGCTTGAAACTTTTACTTAAAAACCTACTGTGCTTATAGAGATCCCACCTTCCACTGTGGTATCTGTCCTAGGAGACCTTTGTGATGATGAAAAAGATACTACTGCATTTTGGTAGGAACACAGCCCTTATTCCATGAACACAGAATTTCCAGTCATTGATATTTAGGGCAATGTCTGGCAATGCTGCATTAAAGATAGCTTCTAACAGGAGGTGCGAGTTTGAATGAATGGCCACTTTAGCATTTCACTAAATAACTGTTCTGCATTTGTGGCTGGTTCTCTACTCTAAAAATGCCTTTCTCGGAGGGCCTGTTTTTCAGATCTCAATCTCTTTCTTTCTTTCTTTCTTTTTTTCCTAGCAAATAACATCAATGACAATTTGTGCTTAAATGAAAAGAAACAAAAGGAATCTTCATGCAAGTAAAACATTCTGAGAGTAAAATCAGCTGGTTTGGAAGTGAAGAGTATATGATGGCTAGACAGTCCATTTAAAAAAAAAAATATATATATATATATATTATTTATTTATTATTTTATTGATTTAATAGAGGAAGGGAGAGGGAGAGATTGAAACTTCGGTGATGAGGTGATGAAAGAGACTCATTGATTGGCTGCCTCTTGCACACCCCCTACTGCGGGTGAAGCCTGAAACCCAGGCATGTGCCCTGACTTGGAATCAAACCATGACTTTCTGGTTCATAGGTCCATGCTCAACCACTGAGCCATGACAGCCATGCTATTCAGTCCTTTTTTAAAGGTCAGCAATGGTACATCTATATTTGGAATATTTGTCCCTTTGAAGTCTATGAGAATTTTGACTTAGTCTTGGAGCAATAAAAATTTACTCTTCCTTCTATTTCAACAAAATTGCTACAAATAATGAGCCATTCCTTTAAATTTACATTCAGTTGACTGAAGAAGGACTTCCTGGCTATTGTCTAAACATCTCATGCTGTAATCCATAGCATGAGTCACCTCCTGACAGCCACCATCTGTACGTGTCTGGACTCTGGGCAGTGTCTGTCGTGACTTGCATGGGTCCCTGATGACAGATGTAACTTGGAGACAGTGTCTCTTCTCTGGCATTTGCTATATAGTATCATCAGTCTCTAGATTCCCAAGTGGATCTAGGTATTCTTTTTATTTCAAAAGCACTTCTTGACATTCCAGTGCATGGGTCATATTTAACAACTACTACAAAAAGCAAAATGAGGGGCACTACACAAAAACTCAAGCACAAAACCCTTCCCTCTGAAAACATACATTTAAAAATTAATTACAATGAAAAATTAGGTCTTGTGTTCGCAGGTCAAAGGGATACAAGTGCCAGAGAAGAGGAGCCAACTTGGATTTTTTTAATCTAGAACTCTGTATTCACATTGCCTGTAACCCATGTCCTATAAGTACACAGAATGCTAATTGTGCCACCACAGTTCTTTGTCTCTTTAAGATTTGTGTAATGTCCAAAAGTTCTGAAGTTACTTCTGGAACAAACTCCCTTTGAGGGAAGTATCTAAGAGAGTTATCTATCATTTATAAAAAGAGATTTGACAGAAACAATATACAATACTGAAACTTAGTATGACAATCCTTGATCCACAACTGAAAAGGAGTATCGCACTACAGGAAATTTTAAGGTATGCTTTCCCCAACTTTTCATCTGTTTTCTTTGAGGGGAAAAAAAAAAGTAGTATCTTATTACTACAGAGGCATATCTTATGGATAAGCAAAATTTTCTAAGAGGCCTTGTGTTATACGCTTGTGTCAACAACACAAATTTAATGAATTGTGTAGTAGTAAGGAAAGAACACAATGGATAAGATACTCATTTGAAGATGGGAACCCTTAGAACTCATTAGGTCAAGTATCTGATGACTGGTTATTTTATGAGGGAGATAATGTTATGGCTCTAGAAACGTAATTATATCCCACCAAGAACACTGCCTAAAATGAGACCATCTCTCACGCAGTGCCCTGTAGGAAAGAACAGTAGTTCTAGCAATGCTGCTAGGAGGAATGAGCCACTGCAGATGAGAAGACAAAAAAAATCACAGTAATTATAGAAATACAAATGAGTTAGTGTTTTGAAACAAATATTAGAGAGAAACTACAAAGTGTGAAAAGGCAGAGATATAATAAGATTTCAGAAATGGAGCAGAAGATTGAAAACAGGTGTTAGACACAGAATTTCTGGTGCTGAAAACCAGAGGTAGGCAAAAACATACTTCTCTGTTCTTGCATTTCAGAGCTTTACAACTACCAGGGATCAGAAAATACTGCCAATGAATGATGGAAAAACAAGTGCCCAAGAGGTGGGGGATGAAGATACTTGGGCATACACAGTTCAACAGTTCATTTGGTCATTACTTGGGGCTTTACTTGAGTCGGTGACTGAATACATGGTTTTAATTTAAGGGAGATTAACTATACTTACATATACATATAGAGATACATAAACACAATACACACATAGATAATTTTTGATGCATTTAATGCATCAAGAATGTTTACATTTGATACAAGTTGACAAAATTAAGTCCTTGTTTTTTAAAAAAATATATTTTTTAATTGATTTTTTACAGAGAGGAAGGGAGAGAGATAGAGAGCCAGAAACGTCGATGAGAGAGAAACATAGACCAGCCACCTCCTGCACATCCCCTACTGGGGATGTGCCCACAGCCAACGTACATGCCCTCTACAGGAATCGAACCCAGGACCTTTCAGTCCGCAGATCGACAGTCTACCACTGAGCCAAACTGGTTTCGGCTTAAGTCCTTGTTTTTATTTAATAGCTGAAAAGATATTAAGTATGCTGAGAAGGCATAGTGGGGGAGCTATTGGTCATCCTTCCCCACATCTCCTTCATAGATCCCCCTCTGCAGATCTCCTGTCTTATTCCAGAAGGTCTGGAAGCCTCAAGGAAGACATAGGGGTCCAAAAGATATACCTCACTACCAAAAAGGAAGCAGGTTCTAGGAGCTAACTTCCCATTTCCAAGATGATTTGTAAAATGTGTGTTGAGGGTATTCATCAGGAAATCATGGTTTTGAAATCATGAAAGGTGATGAAGACCTACCATGCCACCCCATTTTAAATGTCAGAGGATATTCACTTAAGTATGGCATAATCTAGTAGGGCATAGGGAAACCTGTTTGCCAGTATTGAATAATGTTCCTGGTTCAGTAAATTAAAAACATTAAAACAATATAAACAGAAATGAAACAAAAAATCTGTTTATCAAAGAACTAGCTTGAGAATTAAAAAAAGAAAGAAAAAAAAAAGACCTAGCTTTACTGGTCAGGACAATCCAAGCAGTTCACTTATACAGAGCTGAGCCTCTATATAACTAGTTTAACCTAACTCTCTCTAGTGATGCTAAACTTGAAGCATATTTTACTTTGAATGAGGTCATCAAGGAAGAGTGCTGATACATGGGGACAGCAAAAAGGTGTATATATAGAAAGGTTGACTGCCCAAGGGGAAGAAGCTAAGCCTGTCCCAATTGTTCTTTGAACCTCACCGTTTCTGAACATCACATCTTTACTCCAGTTTTGCTTCCATTCTAACCAGTTTTCTACACTTGGAATCATATTCTGATCCTTGTCACCTCCAGACTGAAGTCCAAAGAACTACTTCCTTTCTTAAATCTGAATCTTCAGTTTCCCACTCTGACCTCCAGTTACGTCTTTCTAGTTTTTCACTCGCCCTTTCCTACTAAATGTATTCACTCACTTCATTAAAGCTCCCAGTTACTTGCTATATATTGACCGTTTCTCTCTTTCCTTCAAGTTGGACCTTATGACCCTCATCTCAACCCCTCCCTGTTCCCATTTTTTAGATAGAATCCCAACTTTCACTCTTTCTAACTGTTCACTTTTTTTTTTATTCGTTTTTGCTTCTACTCACAAAGCTTCTTGGTTCCAAGAACCAAACTACAAAACATTTTTTAAAAAATAATCACCAAATCATGTGTGCATTGGTGCCAATATATGGCCATGCAGTCATGATTGCTAGCCTCACCTGGGTCTTGCACACATCTTGTCACTAGCCACATCCCTCTCATCCCCAGCCTACATTCTCCTTTCCAAGGTTCTGCCCAGAATCCACTCCTTTCTCAAGAGATGAGTGTCATGGGCACACTAGAGACCAGATGGGGCCATATGCTCTCAGTTTCCTGTTCCTCCTGCCAAGATTTATTTGTATTCACTTCATTACTTGCATCCCCTCATTTCAGTGGAGAAATTATATCTCATTTTAACCAACTTTTTATTTGCCTCTCAGATCCCATCTATTTGTCTCCTTGGGAGCCTTTTTCTGTATCTTTTCTCTCTCCAGATTTTTAAAGGAACATTAATTGACAGTTCCATATTCTGCTCCAGACACTCAGCTAAAAATGTTGTATACTTTATTTCATATACATTCTATAACAACCCTGTAGAATAGGCACTACTTATTTCCCTGGATTAATTCTCTCTGTCTCTCTGCTCTCACTCTCAGCTATATCAACAATGTTCAACTCCTAACAAAATCTTTCCTTGATCTGTCTTGTCTTCAAGCTTTAGCCCTACACATCTGCTTCCCTTTAGTACCAAGCTTCTTAAAAGAGTAACCCCTACATTCTCTTCCTCACCTCCTGCTTATTCCTCAAGCCTTTTCTAACAAGATTGCACTTATTATTTCTGAAATGAGAACCTCCAGACTGACATCCAATGGATACTTTTTAGTCTTTATCTCACTTGATATCTGCCACCTATTACACGTGCTTAAGTCCTTCTGTTTTCAGCATTCTTCTCCACCAACTTCAGTAATAACGTATTTTCTTGACATTCTCATCACTTTGAAAACTTCTCAGCTGTCCTTGAGTGTCTGTTCCTGAGTCCATCTCTTAAACGTGTGTGTTCCCCGGGGCTCTGTCCTCATTCTCTTCTCTGAGTGATCTTATTCATCCCCACATTTCCAACTATTGCATACAATCCAATGATGTCTATATTTATGCCTCAGTTCAAATTTCTAGCCTTAGCTTCACTTTTATTCAAGGGCCTCTCTGGATAGCAACACTTAAATTTTCCCAAACAAAAGTCATCCTTTTCTTTTTTTAAAATATATTTTATTGATTTTTTACAAAGAGGAAGGGAGAGGGATAGAAAGCTAGAAACATCGATGAGAGAGAAACATTGACAAGCTGCCTCCTGCACACCCCCTACTAGGGATGTGCCCACAACCAAGGTACATGCCCTTGACCAGAATCGAACCTGGGATCTTTCAGTCTGCAGACCGACACTCTATCCACTAAGACAAACCAGTTTTGGCCAAAAGTCATCCTTTCAAATCTCAAATCTATCTCTTCTTTCAGGTTCTCTAACTTATTATGTTCCCTTTTCACATCACTATATAATTAAGAAAAACCAGGTCATTCATCCTTGACTCTCAAATTTTTCCACTTGCATTGTTCTTTGCTTTCACTGCATGTTAGACCATTTTGAAAGGTTAGATTTTATATGATGTTTAGTCTTTAGACATCGTACTGTAACACTTAAGCTGTCACTTCAGTGATTACTTTTAATAAAGCATTTAAAAAATATTTTGTATGAGGTTATAACTTAAGTGTGTTCAACCTGGGAAAGAAACATCTTCAGAAGAGATAAGCATAGGAAAACATGTTTTATTCTCTTATTGACATGGCAGGGATTGAGTGTTATCTGTGTTTCTTGTTAGCTGCCCATCTGTACTGACTGTCTACGGCTCTGTTAAGCTTTTTGCCTACTTAAGATGACTCATTTTCTTCTTGCAATAATATATAGAGATTTTTCTCCCTGAAATAGCATTAGGATATTTTTCTCTGCAAGTCTTTGGTTCTTCCTGCTTCCTGATTTCCCAATCTTTGCTAATACCCACCCAGATATGAAAATCAAAAAGGAATGCTGTAAGAGATTTAATCATATTTACCTTCTAATTCTTTTATTATCATCGGGCATGTCAATATCTGGGTTCAATTGGTAATTAAGGAGTTCATTACCAAAGAGATCATATTCCAAGTAACAGCCAAGTTGAGCAAACTCCAGTAGTTCTTTCTTGTCAAGTATAGTCCTAGAGGCAATAAAACAGACATATTTTTATTATCAAGAGTCTATTTTCCACATATACAGATGAAAAGTTTTTAAGCACATTATGTACTGGAACATAGTTTAAGTAACTGAACTTATGAAGTGACTATAAAATAGCAAGTTCAGTTTATTTGCAGAAATAAGAGAATTTACCCATGCAAAAGGGACTTTTCCCTTTAAAATACTGGGGAAACATAGACATTTTAATTACATTGCCAATACTCAAAAACGCAATTTTTAAAAAAAAATTATTTTATTTTATTATTTTTAATCCTTACCTGAGGATGTGTTTTTATTGATTCAAGAGAGATGAAGGGGGATATGGGAGAGAAAAAAACAAAAAAACAAAAAACAATTGGTAGTCTTCTGTATGTTCACTGACCTGGGATCAAATATGCAATATTTTTGGTGTACAGAGTGATGCTCCAACAAACTGAGCCACCTGCCAGGGTTACTCAAAACCAATTTTGTAATTCTCCTATAGAATTGTCTTCAGGATATGATCTGAAATTGATTTGAAATTCCTTAGTGACTGCTGTGAATTGTGGAAACTATTGCAAGAAATTTGGCACCAGGTGCCATGCTTTGGGTGAGTGATACTAATCTGGGGAAAACCTGAAGCTAAAGTACAATAAGAGGATTAGCTTCTTGTTAAGATCATTGTCTGGTTCTAAAATTAATTTCAAAGCTTATGTGAATATCATTAAAATATCCTTAAAAGGTACAATCCTAATATATAAAAACCCTGGGTCCATCATGACTGGATGCTCGACCAACCAGAAGTCAGTCCTGCAGTCAGTACTGGGTTGCTGTAGTGACCCAGCACTGAGTGCTGCAGCTGCGGTTATGGTAACCTAGCACTGACTGCTGAGGGGGCTGTGAATAAGGCCTGGAGAGAGGCCTGAAGAGAGAAGCAGGGTTTGATCTATAGCTCATGCGGCAGCTATTGATCAGCACTTGCCTCTCTCTTTCTCTCCTGACTGGGCCAGCCTCTACAGGGGCTGCTGATCAGTCCTGCCTTTCTGATCAGGCCCATTGATAGAACCAGAGATGCTGACTGGCATAGAATGACCAATCAGAACCAAATCTGGGTGAACTGTGAGGAGCCAATGGCTGCCTAAGAGGTAGAGCTTTTGACGTTGACTGGCATAGAAACCGACCAATCAGAACCAAATTGGCTGGCAGAGAGGGCAGTTGGGGGTGAGATCAGGCCTGCAGGGGAGGGCAGTTGGGAATGAGATCAGGTTGGCAGGGGAGGGTAGTTAGGGGTGATCACACAGGAAGGCAGATGGGTTAGGGGCAATTAGGCAGGCAGGCAGAGGCAGTTAGAGGCAGACAGGTGAGCAGTTAGGAGCCAGCAGTCCCAGATTGCAAGAGGGAAGTCCAAATGCTGGTTTAGACCCATTCCCACAGGGACATTCCCCAAGAGGTCCCTGATTGGAGAGGGTGCAGGTTAGGCTGAGGAAACCCCTACTCTGTGCACTGGGCCACTAGTACTCTATATATATACTCTCTCTCTCTCTCTCTCTCTATATATATATATATATATATAGATAGATAGATAGATAGATAGATAGATAGATAGATAGATAGATAGATATATGCTCTGTGTGCTTACTTTTAAAATACAACTTATTACTTTATGATGATTTTTGTAGTTATCTTCTAATTCAATAGAGAACTTAGTAATAATATCACTACTTTCTGTTGCAAGACTATGAAATGAATGGAAAAGGAGAAAAATGCAAGATAAATACAATAAACCATCAGAGGAGTAGTCTGGAGCAAGAGTAAATGATCTTAACAAATTTATATTATAACAAGTAAAAAGGGATGCATTGAGTTTGGTCCCCCCAAAATAGTAGAAATTCAAACACAGACATAAATAAGAAGCAAAGAAAAAGAAATTTCAGCAAAATACAATGAATATGGAACTAATGTGAGGGGGGAATATAACCCATTAGACATTGTGTAAAGGTAATTAAGGGCCTAGAAAAAGAATGACTTGGATCTAGGATTGGCCTGGAGAAGAGTTAGAATATCAGACAATCATTGACTCATTAGGATTGGATATACTCTAGTATACTTTTACTTTGGCAACTACAGGATGCAAGGATTAAAGCACTATTATCATATCTAATAAAAGATTGATATGCAAACTGATCATACTTCTGTTATACCCACAAGCCACTCCCACCAGCCAATCAGAAGCAAGTATGCAAATTAGCCCAACCAAGATGTCTACAGCCACAGAGAGAACAGGAGGCATGGGTTTCCCTGGCAATGGAGGAAGCCAAGCTTTCTGCCTGCCCTGGCCTGCTTTGGCCTCCGCTGAAGGCTACAAAGTTTCAATTATAGAAGATAAATAAATCCCAACAAAAATGGTGGCAGCCATGGAACTGGAGAGAACAGAAGAATTGAGTTGCCCCAGTCAATGGAGGAAGCCAAGTTTCCACTGCACTGACTTGCCTTAGCCTCCACTAAAGGCTACAATGTTTCAATTATAGAAGATAAATAAATCTCAGATACTAGGGCCTCCGCTTGGGTTGTGGCCAGCCTGCAAATCACCACAGACCCCTCACCCAAGCCGTCCCACACCACAAGGGAACCCCCACCCTGATCTGGGACACCCTTCAGGGCAAACCAGCTGGCCCCCACCTGAGAACCAGGCCTCTATCCTTTCTAATCCTATCTAATAAAAGAGTAATATGCAAATTGACTGTCACTCCAACACACAAGATGGCTGACCCTATGTGGTCAAAGATGACTGTCCCCCAAGATGGCCACCACAAGATGGCCAGCAGGGAAGGGCAGTTCGGAGGGACCAGGTCTACAAAGGTGGGCAGTTGTGGGTGATCAAGCCTTCAGGGAGGGCAGCTAGGGGTGACCAGGCTGTCAGAGAAGGGAAGTTGGGGGGGACCAGGCCTGCAGGGAAAGGCAAACAGGGGAGTGGTTAGGGGGTGATCAGGCTGGCTGGCAGAAGCAGTTAGGGGCAATCAGGAAGGCAGGCAGGCGAGCAGTTGGGAGCCAGCAGTCCTGGATTGTGAGAGGGATGTCCGAATGCCCGTTTAAGCCTAATCCTACTGGAATCAGGCCTAAACGGGCAGTCAGACATCCCTTAAGGGGTCCCAGATTGGAAAGGGTGCAGGCTGGGCTGAGGATCACCCCCCACCCCGTGAACAAATTTCCTGCACCAGGTCTCTAGTATGTCTATACATCTCTTCTAAGAGGTCAGAAGTGTTTTTGAAACTTTGCATCCAAACCATAGGAGGGCCAATTAAGCCTCAGTGTGTCACGAATGCAGGAGTTTCTGCTGTGCTGAGATCCTTTCTTGGAGTTCACTATTGACTTTCATTCTGAGCAATCACATTGGAGCTGGCTTCTATTTATCCTATTCACCAATTTAGCATAACTTAGAGTTCACAGTGTTGTTTTAGGCATACTCTAAAATGTGCATTAGTTCTGTGCTTTCTTCTGTTAATACATCTTCTTACTATGGAAACCATCTTTTGCTTCCAAAATTACCAGGCTAAAAGGATATGCGTTTTTCTATAATAAATATTTAGTTTCCCCTGCTCCTCCCTACCCCCAAAGAACCATGCTTACGCACAAAAATATACATAATTAAAACAACATAAGGGGAAAGAGATAAGTTCAGTATTTTTCCTTTTGAGTCAATTCATTCGGTTTGTTCATTAGCAATATGGGCAAGGTACTGGGATGAGGGTGGGGAGGGCAGGCTGGAGTAGAGAAGAGGAATGGAAGTGCCAATGATAGGTTAGATCAAACTCTAACACCTTTTTTTTTTTCCTACTGGCATAATGTCTTGAGAGTAAGTTTTCTAAATTTTAAGTAGTATATTGAGGAACATATTCAATGAAAAGTCCATAGTAAATGAAAAGCTATAGAAAAATTTTCAGTCTTAGATTCAATTGTATATAATAAGTAAAGTTGCTGGTCATCATCATTATCACATTATTATCATCATCATCATAGCTTGGAATTATAAAAAAGTACTGGATCTAGCATTGTGCTAAGTGCTTTGCATTTATTATCTCATTCAATATCCTTCACAATTTTTTCACGTCTCAGTTTTACAGATGAGGAAACTGGAACTTAATATATTAGATATTCAATGTGATATGCAAAAGTATGAATTAATTTCAAAGCTAGAATCTACTCTCTTAACTATCATACTTACGATATTATTTCTTCTATGGCTAAATATCCTGTATTCAAAGGATACTTTCCAAAATTGCATTGATTATCTGTGTACATCATATGTTTTAATTTTTATTTTTAAATTTAATTCCCTCCCATCAGTAACCTCATTTGCACTTGAAAATGGGGAATTTACCTTTAAAGAGAGTAATAACCCCCAAAAGTAAGGAAAGATTGCTTTATGGCTATATTTAATTGCAGACAGTAACTACTTATAATAGGATTTGACCATTGCAGTTACTTCAGGCAATTCAAATGATATGGTCAAAAAAGGAGAAGAAACTATATTAATCATTGCCACTATTTACTTTCTTACTAGGAGTCTGATATTGCTCTGAGCCCTTTACAAATATTAAAGGGCATATAATAAGGGTCCATCTTTCTCCTAAAGTCCAGACTTGCATGTATAATTGCCTGCTTGTCATGTCCATGTAGATGTCCAATAGACAAGTTTAACATGTCTCCAACTAAATGCCTTGTCTAACACCCTAAACTAGCTGCTCCAGCACCTTTTCTTTTTTAAAATATATTTTATTGATTTTTTACAGAGAGGAAGAGAGAGGGATAGAGAGTTAGAAACATCAATGAGAGAGAATCATCGATCAGCTGACTCTTGCACAACCCCTACTGGGGATGTGCCCACAACCAAGATACATGCCCTTGACTGGAATCAAACTCTGGACCCTTCAGTCCTCAGGTCAATGCTCTATTCACTGAGCCAAACTGGTTTCGGCTAACACCTTTTTCTATCTCAGTGGGTGG